CATTTCATTTTACACTTTTTCTTCTCCTGTCCGCGTTTTCCTCTGAAGTTCGAATTACGCAACTGTGTATGAGCGAATGATTGGAATTATTGCGTGAAAAGGATATTGTGTAATCAAAATGGTACAGTTGTCCGTCCTGCGCGAAAGGGAAACAAAGTTTACTTCCGCGCGCACTCTCCCGGCCACGTCCGTTTTTTCCACCCCAGAACAGTAAAAAACGATTTTACTGGCCAAAGGAAGTTATGAATACTACTTTGATGATATACCATATCCCCGCGCTCAGTACACACAGCGTTTTGCATTACATTTTTGTCCCCCACGAAAGAAAGTTAACGACACATTCGTAGGACGCTCACGGCACATTCATATTAATGCGAGTGTCAACGTGCATAATGCCATGTGAATAACACCCGCCAAGTGCTAATTTTTTCTTCCTTTTTTTCCCTTTTCAAATTTTCCTGCGAATTAACCACCCCATTTTTGGTGTTTTTCCCTCCCCCACTACGCGTAAATTTAAATGTGTATGTACAAAATGTGCGATAAGCAATAAAGATGGTAAGCCATCTTCGCGAAATGGTTTACTGCCTGTGAAGCACGCCCTGCTAATCAATGGCAGTTGGTTTAAAATGCGAAGCAGTGTGTTTCCCGGAAATGAAAATTGCTTGCAAGTAGACACCTGATTGGAAAGCGACTAAGCAACTCCGTGGTGCTCGTCATTTCTGTTTCCTGGGACGTCACGGGCGTAGTGGCCACCCCTTTTTGCGATTCCGAGTCCCCTGCGACGACTCCCCACTATAGAAGACAAACAGCAAGCAAGCAAACAAGCAAACAAACAAACAAACAAGCAAGCAAACAAGCAAGCAAGCAAACAAACAAACAAACAAGCAAACAAAGAAGCAAACAAACAAGCAAGCAAAAAAACAAGCAAACAAACAAGTGGGAGAAATGAAAAAAATAGCCCAAAGATGTTTTTCCCCCATTGTGTACGCCCTACTATTGTTATATCAGAAGGCAGCAGACAGCTCATATGTCGACGTAACTCTACTAAACGATAACCTTTTCGATGACATGCTAAAAACGGAGCTGTCCTACATGAGCAACCACTTAACATTTAATGACAACACTAAGTCTAGCAGAAGAAAAAAACGAAATGATGCAGCGATGGATGACCTCGTTTTGCTAACAAGTATGCTATCTCAAATTATTCCATCCAATTTTTCAATTTACTCATTAGACATTCCAAACGAAATGGTAAGTACCGCAAGCAACGATGTTAATAACTTCCTAGATTTGATAAACTTATACGACTCAGAAATTAACAACACAGTTACGAACCATCTGAACAAAACACAACCAGTAAAAGGATGTGAAGATGACATAAAAAATAACAATTGTGATAGGGATGTGCTAACATGTATTACTTTAAAAAAGGATAAATTATCTGATAGTTGTAAGAAGTCCCTAAGTAACTCCCTACTATACTCCTGCATCGAGGATGTTATGCTCTACTGCGCGGACTACTCGAAATTTTCAAAGGTACACAATTGTCTGAAAAAAAATTTTTACCACTTGAGTAATAAGTGCCTAAACATTTTAAGCTACTATGAAAATATAATGCACAAATTGCACAAGATTAAGAATAAGCCCTACAACAACCAGGAGCATCTGTTTTTAGAAAGAGAAAAGGGAGGAGTAGTCGTCGGCAACTGGAACAACGCCAATGATCATGATAAGAACACCCCAGACGGAAAATACAACCGAACCGTTAATGACAGTCGAAATGGGAATGACGCGAAATATAACCTTTTCAACGATAATGATGCTAATCATAAATCTACCATGGCTGATAATTTAAGAAAAGGATATGGTCATTATATTTTTCCGTCCATGGATTACAATTACCTGATCGATTTCAAATCAAGAATTATTGATAATAAATCCTTTTTGTACTTTTTTGTTTGCCTCCTCATTTCGTTCCTACTGTACATATTAATAGTTTGTATCAAGAAATATTACGTTGCTGATTCGAACAACTTTTTTGTAAAAGCTGAGAAGATTAAGCTGGCACAGTTGTGATGGTGTCACTTTCAAAGGTGTGCTCGCTTCAGAGGCGGAAGTGGTAATCCTCCTTTCGTCAAATTTTAAGAATTAAAATGGGTGGGAGAAATGACACCTTTAGGGGAAGCACAAATCAACTTCGAAACGTGCAGAATTAGAAAATACGTTTTGGCCCATCGTCCGGGGGGATGAGGCACCTCATTTTGCGTCCCCTCTGCTCCCTTTTTTTTTTTGTGGTGAATTTTTTGCCATGTTTTGGTAATTTTTTTGTTAATAATTTTTTGGCCATTTTGTGGCCGTTTTTTCGACCAACTTTGGTAATTTTTTCCCCTTAGTTATTTTATTTCCTTTTTTATGATGGTCACATAGGGAAGACAGAAGACAGATAGCTGCACACATTCTACGAACGCTATCATTATTTCCGCGCATATTTGGTCTTTTCCCGCAACACATCCCCCCGTTGTGATTAGTTATTTTATTTCATCTCGTTTTGCTTTATTATTACCATCACTGTTTTCATCATTTTCGTTATGGTTCTGATTTTTTCCCTTTTTTTTTTGTATTCACTATTCACTTCGATTTCTTCGGATTGAGTTCTCCAATTTGTTGTGCGCCGTTTCCGTCTGCCCCATGTTGCCTGTGATTTTTGAGCATTTTTATTTCGCTAGGTGTTTGCCGGATATATCCCATTTGACTACGACGTATTTATCATGCCCTATATGTGTAACCTCCCCTTTTGATTCTTCGACTATTTAAATCATATTGCCGTTTAAGTGCATCCCGTGGAAGTTTCCACGCCTTTCCTCTTTAAAAAAGAAAAAAATGCCCATTTTGCTGCGGTGTAGGGGTATTAAATTGGTAAGGAGAAGAACGAGTGTCTCTCGACGTTTCTTCACAGAAGAGTAGTATGCCATGTCATTCCCACCGTCTACGTTGATCGTGTCCATATAAACATACACGAACGTGAGTACCTATGTTTGATTAACATTCTGCATTGTTCGTACAATAAACCCACTGCAGGTAGGGACCAATGCACCTTTCTTGTGGGAATACTAAGGTTTGATAATTTGCATTAGCATGTGACAAATGAAAGATTTTTTTTTTTCTCTTTATTTCCCCCTATCGAATGAGTGGAACGCAAGTATGAATCCCTCGGATTTGCAAATTTTAATGCATTAAGGTCTACCAAGCTATCATACCAATTCTTTGCATTCATATTCATATCTGCTAGATGGATGCTTAAACTAATTTTCACTGCACCATGTGTAGTAGTGGTTTGGCACACATTTGGATATTCCACGCCCCCTGAGCTACTAAAAGAGGTGTTTTTTTTTTCTTTTTTTTTAGTGGATAAAAAAAGAATTACGAAAAGGAGATAACTTTGGAGATAACTTAAAGGTGTATAGGTACAAGAAATGGTGCTGCTTTCCCATTTTTTTTTTTTTTTTTTCTTTTTTTTGCACTCTTTTCCAAAAAAAGGGAGGAGTATCCTTTTTATACCACAAGTGTAAAACTTTGGAAATGAACATAAAACTTTTGTTAATGGCATGGGAATGAAAATATGCCAAGCGCGATGAACTCCCCTTTTCTTACCTATATAACCCCCCCTGCGTCGGAAGTGCGTAAATGAAATTTGGTAACTTCCACCCTTCTGCTAACCGCACAAGGGGTGCTCTTCCTCGAGCACATGCGGCCACAAAGAGATTCATTTTTTTAAATTCGTGTTAATACGTTAGGAGGAAGAGAGCCAGCTTAATGCTGGAATAAAAAAAAACGAAGCGAAACGAAACAAAGCTAAAAATAAAGTGTGCGCAATTTTTCCTAGCAGGTACATTTCTCATTTTCGAATTATAGAAATAGCTGGGGAAGTTATTTCACACTGTGTTCATATGTGGCTTGCCATTTGTGAGTGGACCCTAATTCCTCCTTGTGGCTTCTTACACATGAACAAAGTTTAATTCGATTCACCCGTTTTGTCGTACATTCGATTCGAGGGGGATGGCACTTATGTGTGCCTTGTCTTATCACCTTCGTTTGCGTGCTCCTTGCGTTTTCATCTTTCGCTTTCGTCTACTTCTTCGTTCCTTTTTCGTTTCCTTTTTTTTCCCCTGGACGATTTCTCCAAATGGATATCCCCCCTGAAGGCATATCGATTTATGAATTTTTTCTAACAGCAATGAAGAAGGAAGAGAAAAAGGAATAAACCACTTTACACTTTTTTATCCTTTTTTGTCCACTTTTTTTTTTTCTTTTTCTTCCTAGTTTGTTAAATTAAGACCCGCGCACATTTACGCACTAGATACACTACAACTTTTGGGAACTTTTCATGACGCCAAAATTGAGCATCCTCACCACATCATGCCTTTTTTTATACCATTACTGAACCGGATTAAAAGAAGAAGGCGGCTACCAAAAGCGAAATTTTATTTGCTTACATGTGAGTCCATATAGCTTCCCAGATACTTACACATTTTATGTAAAGTGGTAATCTTTCACGGTGGGTACTTAATAGCCGTATGGAGATTGCACATTTTTTCCTTTTCCTTTTTTTTTTTTTCAATTTTGGCGCGAAATTGGGGATTCTTTTAAGGGAGATATCACTACTATTATTCCACTTCGTTTCATTTTCTTTTTTTTTTTCCCCTCACTTATCTTTCCCTTTGATGCTCAAATTAACGCGATCAGCCACCTAGTGAAATTGTCCTACCATATGCCCACGCGAACAGTGCCTTGTTCTATGATTATTCCATATCTGGGCGCATCCAAAATCAACGACTGTTCTCGCAACGCCGTTAATTTTGTGTTGCAAATATAATTGCATTTTGTTTGGACTGGTTTGTTTCGCTTCCCATGATCTTCCAGTTAGATTACAGCTAGCTCCCAGTTAGCTCCCTGTGCATTCCCTGCTTTTCCGTCCCCCCAACTGCCTTTTCGCCGCCGCAATGACGACGCAGGAGAGGACGAAGGGGTGGGAAAAGGACTCCAAAATAAATGCGGACTACGAGTATGAGAGATTGCTAAAGCTGGAGAATAAGTTCAACATAAAACCATGGCTCAGAAAGGGGCAAAAGGAGGGGTACCTCTACAACATAGTGCCCACCGCTCTGAATGTGGTTGTGAAGAATTCGAACAAGTCGCAGAAAAAGACAGGTAATGCAAGTGCACCAGGAGGGATGTGGAAGCGTCTCAGAATATGCTAATCTGACCGCATCGCTTTTCACCGACGATTCGCACATTTCATCGATGGTCCGCTCATTTCACCGCTTCTCCCCGCTTCTAACCGATGGCCCCCCCATTCAGGCGTGCACATGTACTTCGTCTCGGACAACAACAAGACGTGGAGACTGACGCTGTTCTACCGACCGTACTTCTACCTGAAGACGAAGAACATTCACAACTACGAGGCGGTGACCAAATACCTAAAGAAGGAGTTGGACAAATACAACGTCGAAATAGATTACGTGAAGAAGGAGGACCTGAGTCTGTATGATCACCTAAATAAAAAAAGGAGTTACCTGAGTAACATCTTCTTTAAACTCTCCTTCGACACTATAGAGAATCTCATGAGCTCGAGGGATTTTATCTCCAGAATAATTGAGAGAAACAAGAAGAATAAGGAGCGCAACAACTCTTCAAATAACGACAGGCACATATTTAACGAGTACGAATATGAACTGTCGGAGAGCAAGTTAGATTTTTCCTACAAGCACGATGTTTCCTATACCAAGTATGATGAGGCTGGAGAAACTGGCAGGGTGATGAAAAATGAGGGTGGAGCTGCGCACAGAGAGGACAAAAGGGACTCCAAAAAAACACACACGTCCAACAACAGCACAGGCGACCGCGAGGGAAGAGCTAAGAAGAACGACGCACATGTAACGGTGAGCAGCCCAAAGCTAAACATGAACGAAATAGTAGTAAACACGAAGAAGCAAATTTTAAGTAAGGAAGAAATCCTTCAAGAAATAACAGAGATGTACGAATATGATGTGAAGTACACCACCCGAATATGCATAGATCAAAATATCCGATGTGGACTGTGGTATAGGATCACCAGAGACGAAGATGAATTGTACACAGAGACGGAGTCAGTCCATTTCGAAGTATTAAATAAGAAGGTCCTAGCCCCCTTAAATGTGCTCGCCTGGGATATCGAGTGCTACAAAGATGAACTAAAATTTCCAGATAAAGAAAAGGACGAAATTATCCTCATATCATATATGTACAACGCACAGGGGTACCTAATAGTTAACAGAAATGTTATGAGCAAAAATATAAGAGAGTTTCTCTACAAGCCAAATGAAGAATACTCCGGAGCAGGGACATTCAAAATTTTCAATGAACAGAATGAATATTTCCTTTTAAAACGATTTTTAGAGCATATAAAAATTTTGAAAATTCACATTTTTGTCACATACAATGGGGACTTCTTTGACATTCCGTACCTCTTCCGGAGATGCGAAATTAACAACTTGAGTGTACCGAAAGAAATCGGGTTCATCATGAATAACAACAAACAAGAATGTGTATGCAATTTTATTCTAAATATAGATGCATACAAGTGGGTCGAACGGGATTCTTACTTACCTAATGGGTCCAGAACACTAAAGAGTGTGTGTAAAATTAAGCTAAAATATAACCCTACAGAGGTGGACCCAGAACTTATGGTTTCTATTGCGAGAAAGAACCCACAGCATTTAGCTGTATACAGCGTGTCAGATGCCGTTGCCACATTTTATCTGTATGATAAATTTATCCACAATTTCTTATTCGCCTTGTGCTCCATCATTCCGATGAACCCAGACAACGTTCTAAGACAGGGGAGTGGAACCCTATGTGAACAGCTACTAATGGCAGAGGCGTATAAGAAGAATATTCTCTTCCCCAACAAGTTCAAGCCCGCGTATAATCAATACTTCACCGATGTGGAAAATAAGAAGAAATATTTTATCTATGATGATTCCTTTGTTGGTGGAACTGTGCAGAGTTTGAAATGTGGGATCTACAGAGACGATCTCAAAGAGCACTTCAACTTAGATGTAGACACGTACAAGTACCTACTGGAGAATGTTGACAGCATTATCGATTTCTGGGTTCAGAAGGATCTGAACAAAAACTGCAGCCCTAATGATCAGAAATATATTAACAAAAATCAAATTATTAATTTGAAGCAAATTAAAAGCGACATTATAGACAAGCTAAATTTCTTCATCCAGAACCCCAGCATTAGCATATGCCCCAACATCTACCACCTGGATGTTGCCGCCATGTACCCGAACATCATCCTATCGCACCGTTTGCAGCCAAATGCCATCATAACACAGGACCACTGCTTCAACTGCTCCTTCTACAAGCAGCGCCACTTGTGCCAGAAACAGATGGTGTGGAAGAGGAAGCTAGAGGTTTCCCCCATAGATTATGGCCATGTTCTATCTCTCAAGCAGGACCTGAAGACGCGCCTCTTCTACCCCCAGAAGAGCTTCTTCAAGATGAACAACAAGGAGGAGTCTGACAGCAGCACAAACGACAACTTGTCGGACTTGCCCGTCAGCAAGAAGAAGTCGTAAGTTCCTGCGATAAGCCCTCTTGTGTTGAGAGCCCATACGTCGCTCTCCCAGCTGTACTCGCTTCTCCAACACGTATATTCGCTTTTCCACCTAGTATACTCGCTTCTCCACCACGTCTACGCTCTTCACCACCCCGATTAATCGCCTCTTCCCGACCCTTTCCCCCCCGCAGCTGGAACGAGCTTACCGAAAAGCAGCAACACGACGAACTGATGAAAGTGATAAAGGAATGCTCACAGAGGGTGTTCAAAAAGACAAAGGTCGCCAAGGAAGTAGACGCCGCGAGTTTGGTGTGCCAGAGGGAAAACCCCTTTTACGTGGACACGGTGAGGACCTTCCGTGACAGGAGATACGTTTACAAGAAGGGGCTCAAAGAATGCGAACATGAAAAAAAAGAACTACTAAAGGCGAACAAAATAGACTACATAAAGATTCAAGAGTTGGACGATAAGATTTTGCTAAACGATTCGTTACAGTTAGCGCACAAGTGCATACTGAACAGCTTTTACGGGTATGTAAAGCGAAAAAGCAGTCGCTGGTACTCAGATCAAATGGGAGCCATCGTGACTTACACAGGGTCGCAAATAATAAACGGTGCTTTTAATCTTATCAACAAAATTGGAATACCTGTAGAGCTGGACACCGATGGAATCTGGTGCATGCTGCCAAAAAAATTCCCAGAAATATATGACGTGTACATAGTGGAGAGAAGCGCTCTGAACAAAATGAAAGAGTATGAAGACAAAACGGAGGAAGAACTAAAAAATGACTCAAGTGTGAAGAAAGTAGAATTTGAATTCCCCACCAATATATTAAATTTCGAGATGCACAAAAAATGGACGAACGACCAGTATCTAATTTATAACGAAAGCACAGACGATTACGAATGCATTAGCAAAAATGAAATTTTCTTTGAGTTGGATGGTCCCTGGCATGGTATGTTCCTACCAGCATCGGAAAAGTCGGATGACCTGTTAAAAAAAAGATATGTCGTCTTTAATGACAAATATAAAATTAGCGAACTCAAAGGATTCGAAATTAAAAGAAGAGGAGAGCTAAGAATTATACAGAAATTCCAAAGCGAAATTTTTAATCACTTCTTAAAGGGGAAGACAAAGGAAGAGTCATATTACTATGCCTCCCTAACTGCAAACAAGTGGAAAAATTTAATAGATAGTAAAGCGGTGGACATAGATAATGATGATGAATTGTTTGACCTCATTTTAGCGAAGAAGGTGCTGAACAAATCCGTGAAGGAACAACCGAATGCTAAAAGTTTTGGCATTACGACTGCTAAGCGGTTAAGTGAACTTCTCTGCAATACAAGTTACGTGGAAGACAATAATGTCTCTACCCAATTCATCGTTGCGTCCAAGCCTATAGGATCCGACATCACCTTTAGGGCGATCCCCATTCAGATATTTAAAACTAACGTGGAAACGCAAATTCACTATTTGGGAAAATGGCTAGGTGTTAAGTTCCCTCCTGACGTCCCTGTGAATGTAAGGGATATCATTGACTGGGATTATTACAAGCAAAAATTAGAAGTCCAAATTTTGAAGTTAGTCATTATTCCCGCGATTAAACAAAATATTAATAACCCAATCACGTCCATTTCTGTGCCCGAGTGGCTCAAAAAGCAAATTAACATTTCAGAGGGAAAACAGAAAAAAATCACCGCCTTCTTTGTTAAAAAGACCGTTAAGAAGGAGTGCACTTCGAATGATCAATCTGACAGTAGTACCCCCTTAAAGGGAGAAATGGACGACGAGGAAAAGGACAGGAAAAAGGTAGACGAGCCTAGCTTGCGCTCCTTGGAGAAGAAGAGTCCATTCCCAGTGGAGGCCGCCTGCAGTGCGATGAACGTTTCAGCTGATACATTGCACAACGGTACTACCCCCCCCGCCGGTGCGAAAAAACGCTCGCTCGAGCAGTGCCTTCTGGAAAACTTCATCTCAAAGCGGAAGAAGCTGGGTCAACTGCACGATAACACCTTGGCTAGCCTCACGCACAGCAACTCTGGTTCCATAGTCTACAAAAAAGTGAACTCATTGGACACCTACCTGGATCACAGCAACAACGTTATTATTATTAACCACGAAAAAATCAACATCAACAATTTGAAGTACACGGAGCTGTTCGAAATGTTCCAAACGGATTTCCAAAAGTGGATCCAAATTAATAATCGAATATGGAAAAATAATCGAAGTCAAATTAAGAAAATCCGAAATGAGGACCGATGTAAGAGGAAGAAGTATTCCCTGGGGGGTGACGAAGAAGACGATAAAGCAAGGAAAAGGACTGGCACCAATTCTTTATCCTACCCTGCTGATATGGATGATGAAAAAACGAATTCCCAAAAATTGTCCAGCCTGGAACCGAAATATTTGCATCCCATTCAGAACGCTATGGATATTGTGTACCTGTACAAAAAGGTGAAAAGGAAGAAGAAAGTAGTAGCCCCCCCGCCAAAAAAAGGAAAGCACAGTGGCACCACCCCCTCCACGGCCGCTGGCAACAGTTCGAATGGGCCTATGAATAACCACACAAAGAACGAAAAACAGACATTGCTAAAACCATATTTGGAATACTTCAAACATGAAACCGAATCAGATTCTTCAGACGACGAGGGTGACATATTTAACGACACGAAAATGATTGACGAGAATGAAGACGACGGAATATACTACGCAATTGTGTCCTTAAAAAATATGAACAAATTTTACAAAATAAAAATTCAAATATATAGACATATTTACATCAATAATTATGATCCCCTGAACATAAAAAGTAACAAGAAGATTACCATCAAATTAGTTTCTTCATCCGGATCGTCCAACTCGCCGAGCAGTGAGAATTTCATGTTTCACTCCAACGCATTCGCACCCTGTTTTTTGCCCAGAAATGTGAAAATATTTAATTTATACGAGTTCATTATGACGGAGAGGTACTTCAACAGATACGTAGTAAACACACTGAATGCTAACTACCACGAAAGTATCGTCTCTGTGTACGAGACGAAGATTCCACTTTACTTTGATTTCCTGAGCAGATATGGGAATTCAGTCGAAATCGCCTCGAATAATTACAACTCCATTTTTGATGAAGACAAATGCTTCAAATCGCACTGCTTCTCCAAGGTCGAGAAGAACAAATTGAAAAATGTGTCTCATGATTACCTGGATGATGTGCATTTTATATATATCCACATTTTCCACACGTTGGTGGATAGCGTGTGCAACCGCATCTTCGTCGGAGTATACGACCAGTTCGAAGAGAACGCGGATGAGCAGCTATTCGGCTGTAAGCTCATGTTTAGCGGCGTTGGCACGGAGAGCAGCATCGGCAGGGAGAGCGGCATCGACAGGGACAGCGGCTCCTTCTTCGACCCATACGAGATCTTCCTCAAGTTTGTGCACCTGGAGGGTGGTATCGGCATGAACAACGCGGTGGATGGTGCCCCCCAAAGAGGGGAACCCGCCCGAAACCAAGCGCGAGAGCACCTCCTCGACAGAGACTTTTTTATCAAAAACGTGCAGAGAGACTTCCTATTCCTGTACCATTACCGAAAGTTCGAAACCTATTTTGAAGACAACGCCAATGTATACAAGGTGTTGGAGCACTTGGATGTGTATTTGAATAAATATCGAAGTAACATTCTGACAGGAAAGAAGAAATACATCTTCTATGTCTCGTCAACCATAGATAAGAATAAACTGGGATGGTGGAGCACGAATAAATATTTCCCTTGCTACTTTCACAAGTTTGAAAATGTTGCAAAGTATCAGAACGTCAGCCGAATGAATTACAAAAAAGATGCATTCAATTTATCGCTACAACTGTTTTATGAGAATTACCACAAAGTGGAAGAAGATTTGAATTTCTCAAGAATATCGAATATACCTCTCTTCAACCTGCTAAATGTTAGCAGAAAAAACCAGAAGCATAAATTCATATATGACACGCTGTACGCATCGTTTCTGAAAAGATACAAGGGGATCCTATGGCTATCCTACTTTGGCCACTACGATTTGGGAATTCCCTGCTTAAATATAAACAACTTTTGTGACTACGATTTGGTGCAGAAGAACAGTGACATAATAAACGAAGGAATTTACAGGGGGTATATAGTCCACTTATTTTTTAATGAGTCTCTCATTTTTAACAGCGTTAGGCTTTTCACCAAGTATGCTAATGTGAAAGCCCCCACTGAGTACTACAACCCCTCGGTTACTGGCAGGAATGCCCAGTTTAAGAAAGGAGACCAGACAAGAGGGGGAGGCACTGAACATGACGCTGCGGCGAAGAGGCACCACCGGACGAAGTATGGCAAACATGATGACGACAATGAGGATGGATTGGACGAGGACGACCTGTCCACAACGGACGACAATTATAACAATCTGGGCGGAATTGCGCACCGGAAAGGAAAAAAGGGCATCGCGCAACATAAAATGGGTGATGGTACGAATAGACACGATCGCCACAACAGCGACAAGAACGGAGAAGACGACATGGAAGCAGAGGACGAGGGGGACGACCTGTTCGACTTGAGCGAAAAGAAAAACATAATCAAAAATAAATATGACATAAATACCATCGTGGAACAGAACTCACATGTCTCGCAATTCAGTAACCATGCATTCAAATTATTGGGGCAGTCATTAGAGTACCTCATATCGAAGATCTCCTCCCTGTCCATGTTAATAACAAATAAGACGTTCGAAAGTATCTCCGACATCTTCACGTCCTTCTACTCGTGGGTCTCCAATAATTCCAGCCTTCTCTACGATGTCGCATTATACAACAAAGTGTTAGAGTGCACAGAAATTTACCAGAACAATTTAATCAACATAATGAAGAAGAAATTTAATGCCAACATAATTTTTGCAGACTTGAGAAATTTCGTCATCTCCTTTAATGAATTTTCAGTCATTTCGGGCAGAAACATTTTAAAAGGCCTAATAAAGTACTTCTCCCACAGCGACTCCATATATGCCAATGTGCCTTTTTATATTAAACACGAATACATTGCAGCTTGCCAATTTGATAAGTATAATTTTATAAGGTACAAGGAATATTCCAATCCGAATGAAGAAAACACGGACGAAAATTTAAAGATAATTGAATATCTTCCCCCCATTTGTGAATCCTTCCTGAGGTATGTCCTCGATGTGATCACCTTGAACCCTCTGCAAGACATAATCACGCTGTATGATAATTGGGATCCTCACTGTGGCAAACAACTGGAAGGAGGAGCGATCACCTTGTCTTCACCGGGAAAGCCAATCCCAGTGGATGAACAAAATGAAAACAAAACCGGAGATCAGGAAGAACCAAACAAGAAAGACGAAAAGAACTACTTCAATATGGTCCTCAAAAGTGACAAATTAACGGACAAGATAAGCCTAACACAAAGAGCACAACTCAAATATATTTATGATAAATCATTTGACGATTTGGAAGAAGTGTGCGAAAGTTTTGCTCTCATCAACGAAAATGTAGACGTGCTGTCATACAAGATAGAAGAGAAGCTAAAAGATCTGTGGTTCATGCCTGGACATATTTATAAAAAAATTAAAAAATCGATCAAGTATAAAAAATATTTAGTGGAAAATTACTGGCCATATGATGACGAAATGGATGAAATGGACGAAAGTAACATGAACATGGTGCCATTTTTATTTCCGAAAACTTTGGGAAATCTTGCCAAAAGAGAAAATAACTGGAGACTAGAAATTGTCAAATTCTGCATATTTCTCATGCAAAATGATAAGCTGCTAAACCTAGAGAATGAAAACTCCAATGAAGCATTCCACGAAAAAAGACATGAGCTTTTCGAAATTGTGGGGGACAGTGAATACAACAGGAAAAATTCCCTCTGGAAAAGTCCGTGCCAAGAATTAATTTTAAAAGATATCTTCTGTGAAAATTGCTCATCAATGTACCACATGAATGTTGTTACCAGTTTGGTCGAGGCAGAAATCAACGGAAAACCCTCCTTCATTTGGTTGTGCAAAAACTGCAATTCCAAATATGACAATGATTTTATTGAACTAAAGATTTTGTCGCTGCTGCAGGAGACCTTTGATGCGTATAATGTAAGTGTTCTTTTTTTTAACACCCCGCGGGGGAGCACACTCTTGCTGGAAGGGACGCCTTTTCTTGGCTTCCTATCGCGTCCCCGTCAGCGTGTCGCAGCACTTCCTATTCCAATGATCACTCCCCCCCTCTTTTTTCTTTTTCGCATTTCTGTGCAGGCCCAAGACCTCGTATGCAGCAACTGCAACGCCGTCAAGTCCTTCTACCGCAGGTCAATTTGCAAATGCGGGCAAACCTTTACGCCCCGTTTGGATATAACCAACTGGATCCGAACCCTGGAAATTATGGAAAATTTAGCCACCATGCTGAACATGCCTATATTGCTAGACGTTTTGAACTCGATGAAAACGTACCTTGTGTAAAGGGATCGTTTTGCTGCATGGCTATGGGGTGATATTTAACGGAGCAATTTAACGGAGCGATTTAACGGAGCCATTTAGCAGCGCGTTGTAACCGTGTGCTTCTTCTGCATACGTGCACCATTTTGTCGTGTCCCCCTAGTTGACCAAAAAAGGCCAACTCATTTGTGACGAATTATTCTTACTTGTAATGAAAAGGGTGCATAACGCAGTCACGCACGGGGAATTACTCTTTGCACACTAGTGAAACAATTATAAAAAAAAAAAAAAAAAAAAATACTTAATTCCTCTTAATAAGGAACTATACACACACGTAAAAAAAAAAGGCACCTTTAAAGGTACCATACAACAAAACGACGTGAACAATTTAACAAAATAACCAACCATTAAATTACATTTTCTCCTTTAATTCTTCCCAATTTGTGCATCCCAATTTGGTTTACACTATTTTTTTTTTTTTTTTGTCTTTCACCATGGGTGCAATTTCTGATTGCTTATAGCTCCTATGGCCCTCCTCCCACGCATAGAAGCAAATAACTATATGCGCACCCGTTTCAGCTTCGTCACTTCTAACATATTCATTATATTTAAGGCCTATCACTCACATGTAGGCATAACGCCGTCATTCTTGGTTCTTTAAGTACGAGTGGACATCTGCAAGGGTTAAGCGGAACAAATGTAACGACCCATGTTTGTGAATACATGAATCCGTATGCATACATAAGGAGACTCGGTAACTCTTCCCCCGATGGAGCAACTATTACAATCGCGAAAAGACGCAATTTGTAACCAAAGGAAAAATGGGCGCTCTTTTTTATTTTAAAGGTGCCGCTTCGGAACAACGAATGATTCTATTTGGGAGGCTACATGACAATCGCGGCATTTAATGTAGGTTTATAGGATTCGCAGCGATTTTGCAGGGGGAGATGCGAACACGCTTCTTTCGCGATTTTCCCGTTTTCTTATTTGGTTTCTTTCTCCTTTTTGTGCTCCTTTTTATTATTCCCCTCTCCCTCCAGTTTTACCTTTAATAATCAGGTGCTGCAGCGGGTTGGGCAGGAAAGCGTGGAGAGGCTCAAACGCCGAGGCAACAATATCCCTGCGTGCACGACGGTGGCATCGAGTTGGGGCAGATGGACAAGGAATGCTTAAGTAAAAGTGAAACTCGTTCAAGGCTTATATGACGGTGCTAGCGCCAATGGGGTTATGGTGTCGATGGTTACATATATATTTTATATATACATAATATATATATGTACCCATTTTTTACACCTTCATCTGTGCAAAGCCCTTACTGAATTCTCTTTTTATGAACTTTCAACAGCCTCTGCTTGTCGCCCATGCACTCTTCTTCGTCGACTTTTCTCTGGATTTCTTCCACCCTCATCAAGGAATCCAAAGATTCCAACACTTCCTGTGTATCCTCCACGGGGGCCTTGCGCGGGGAAATTGAAGAAGCGAATGGAGAAAGGAAGAAACAGGGTTTTCCCTTTTCGTACATTCTTTTCCTCACGATTTACGCAGTTTTTTTTTTCCCCTTACATGTATATTTATTTTAAAGTCCTCATCACGGTCTATCATTTTTTTTAACTTTGAACGGTTAGCCTAAGCAATAGGTAAGCCAAATTTAACAAAAGGTTTCTACTTTTCACGAACATTATTATGGTTACTTCGAAATTTACTACACAATTTAGCTCCACAGTTCGCCTTCCTCTTGTTCTTTTAGTCTTTCTTTTTTTTTTTTGTTTCTTTCCCCATTTAACTTACAGGACTTATGGGAATAATTTTTTCATTTATAACAAAATTATTCTGAACAACACACCAAAGGAGAAAACAAATGGACACAACAAAATAGTTCATTTTAGCTAGCTCTTCCAGAAAAGTATTTTAAAATGACGGCGATTTGTGGGGAATTTTTACTTATAGTGGATTTATTTAGACTTACACAAATGTATTTTCATATGTGTATACAACAGTAGTGATGTATAATATTTTCCTTTTAAGGTATTTTAGCCAAAAGATGAAGTCACTTTTCATTGGAGTCATGTTTCTACATGTTTTATTGAACTGAGAATAAATAGGACATTTCTGCGCAAGGGGAAAAAAAAAAAAAAAAAAAAAAAGTTATGTAAATACATCCTTCTAACTAGCTTTTTTTCTTTTTTTTTTTCTTCATTTTTGAAATAAAAAAAAAACAATATATGAACAGTTCGGAAGAGATAAAAAGTCATTTACTCACATCTTACAAGTTTGAAGTTGCCTCTATGTGGAAGATATATTTAGTGTGCATTTTAGGGTAAGTGATCGATCAGGCCAAAGCTTCCTATTGCTTCTAATTTTTTTGAATGTGTAATTGTCGATTGTTATTCTACAAGTTTTTCATTTCCTTCAAAGCTTTCAGCCACGCGAAAACCTTAAACTGGTTTTTCTGCTTTTATAGAATTTTTAAGTTTTGCAAAAATTTCTACTTCGTTATGAGCTCTATAGCTTAATTGAAGCGGAAAATTTTTGCATATGCGTACATACAAATTTTATCACCCTTTTTTCTTTTTTTTTTTTTCTTTCCTTTTTTTTTTTTCTTTCCCTTTTTTTTTTCTTTCTTTTTTTTTTCCTTTCTACCATTTCTGGGGTAACCCCTTTTATGTTACGTGATCCTAAGAATTTGTGCGTAAAAGAAGCTTCGTTGTAAGTTCTTTGTTTTTTCTTATATCTAGCTTTTTATGCAGATATAGGCAGCGGGCAAAAAAGGAAAAGAAAAAGAAACGAAATTGAACTGAATTGAAATGAAGCGAATTGAACATGTTACAGCAATTTACGGGATCACACGGGGACGTGAAAAAAGGCCTTCATAGAGTAAACCCATTGCTGCATAAAACTTTCCTAATTATCCTTCCTGTTTTAACAACAATTTGTGAAAAAATTGCATCATCTTGTTCTGAAGCTTTATAGAACTTTTCATGACAATTTTGCAGACCTTTCACTGTTTTGATTTTTTTTTTTTTTCCTTTGCGCTAATTTACCAATTAAGTGAAATAAAATTTCTGAACCCATTCTCCTTTTATGAATGACTCCCCCACAACATTACTACTCTACACACTCTTTTAAAAAGTCGCCTAATTGAGATATTGACGAATAACCGAAATAAAGAACATGGCTTGTTAAGTTTTAAGAGAGTGTCTCTATGGCTTTTTGATTTACACTGGGGATGAGTCAACGCATAGTTGTTACCCTATCAGGTGTTTTTGTGCACATGTAGTAACACAGAAGCGTCCGAGGGCAGAAAAATAAAAAAAAAATTTATTCACCAATTAACGAAGCGAACAACATTTTACTCGCTTTATTCTGTGTGTAAGTTTTTCCAACACAAAATTTGCCCAACTGTTCCACATGTTTTGAGCAAGTTTGCAGCATATATAATATATATACACCACAATGTTTTGAAGAAGTACATGCTATCCCCATTAGGTTGAAGTTTTACACATATCTGAGCGAGCCGTTTCGACAATTTTGAAATAGAGCTTGCGAAATTTTTTAAGCTTAAAAATAATTTTTTCTTCTGCTTCCCCCCCCTTGCTGTGCGCAGCTGTTTAACAACACACCAAGTTATATGCGTGCATAGGTACGAATTACCGACGCGCATAGAGGGGACCATACCTCCACACATTAAGGGGTTGTACCTCACCACATAGAGGAGACGCACATTGCACCCGCCGGGAATACCCCATTCCTGCACAACGAAATGGGAAGCGAAAATGTTCTGCAAGGAAACATACTCAGCAAACTATAAAAAGAAGAAAAACCGACTAAGGGAAGTCACCCGAAGATGCTTCAACCTGATCGACTTCAACTACGAGCACTTATCATCGTTAATAGGGAAAAACAACAAAGGTGATGTTTTGACAAGCTACCAATTTAGTGACGATGAAATAAAATTCGATTCAGACGAAAATATACGCAGTAACGAGATATACTTCCCAGAAAGCACGTATACAAATAATGACTTTAAAAATTTGCTAGGATGGGTACCCAGAAATTTAGTAGTGACAGAACCGGTCACCACAGACTCCATCCCGTGTGCATTTTTCTTTTCAAAGAATGATGATAAACTATCAACAGATAATAAAATAATTTTATACCTGCATAAGTTTAATGAGGATTTAGGCACGATAATCCCAACGGTGAATGCCCTACATAAAAAATTAGAAATGAATATTATCGCAATGGAGTATTCAGGATATGGGGTTAGTTTCGACACGTATGAACAGAAGCTTGTTTCAATTGTGAACGATTCATTTACTCTTTTAAAATTTATTGTTAACTTTTTGAAAATTCCGTCTAAAAATATATACATTTTGTGTTACGAGTTTTTGGCTAGCTGCGCTATAGAGGTGGTAAATCGATATGAAGACACGTATGGCAAAAAGGAGTCCTTAGGCGGCCTGGTCCTTATTAAACCCCAGCTGCTGCATGTTGTTAGCCAGCATACAGTCCCTTCACCGTGTGAACAAGACGATAATATTGTGTTAGGGGATAAAGATCCCATCGGAGTCGTCGGAGGAAAAAAAGGATTTACTGGTCAGTGTGCAGATAACACTTTTGACGAGGCTGAGGCAGTTGAGGGGGGCATCCTTGAGGGAGATGTTCCACCTTGTAAGGACATCTCACACTGTGAGGACGTCCCAAACTGTGAAGACGTCCCTTTTTGTGACGGACGGACGACGAAGGAAAGCCAATACGCCGTCTTCAAGAAATCGAAGCAGAAAAACTGCACAGTGACGAGTCCGAAAAAATGGTACCACTCTCTCGGATTTAAAAAGGACGAAGAAGCAGCCTACAATGTGACGAGCAACAGTGTCAAGAAAAACAGCTTCGAAAAAAAAGGAGTCCTTACCATTCGCAACAACGTATCCAATAGAGCGTGGAAAGGAGCTTTCGTAGGTACTAACTCTTATCAGTCCGGAAATGGCATAATTACTTGTGACATGTCGTTATTTTACAGCGATAATCAACCCCCCCCAGGGACAGAAAATAACGACATACCCAACTCTCTAATGAAGAGAATATTAAAGGACACATTTGATATAAGGCATTCCATAAATTCAATCAAATCAATTTCGTGTTCCATTTTAATTTTCCACCCTGAAAATTATATCTATAAAAATTCGAGTTCATATATTCTGCTGGGCAATGCGAAAGAATGTCACAAGAAGGCAGCTTTTTTATTTGATTTCATGAACGAAGATTTTGTCGCGGCCTTTAAGTGGTTCTTCTCAGAAATATCCAATTCGAAGAGGCAAGAAAAGCTATTTAAAAATTTGCTTTCTTTATATGAGCACCCGTCATATGATAGGAAGGACAATGTTAGTACAAGTGACGGGGTGGAGAAGAAACTAAATCGTGTCATTAATAGCGAACAGAGGGAAAACACACGTAGCGATTTAGGCTACATATGTAGCGGAAGTTTTGATACAACACTTGACGAAATTCCTGATTCAAGTTTTAATGTACCTCTTAACAGTAGTGTCAGAAATAGCTTCATCCTCCAGGAATGCAACCTAAATGATGCCCTAAGCGACAGTGAAGATTCTCCTAAATGTGATGCTCATAGTTGTAGCCCTTCAAACAGCAAGAGTACCATTAACTTACCTGAGGAAATTTTCGTATGTCCAGAAATGGTTCAGGAAGAAATCCACTACAAGGGGGATACCCATGTGGGGAGTTAACCCTTCTTCGCATGGCACATTCTGCGCGAATAAGCATGGTTCATTTCATGCATATTCGTTGTGCTATTTGCGAGGAGCTCTTTTAACACTGATAATTGATAGGTACCTTGGTACCTTTGCTTGGTAACTCTACCCCGACACTGCATATAGTAAAACTCCCCCAACGTGTCTCACCCTTTCATGTAGGCCAACGAGCAACAGTGACAGGAGGTAAGGCTGACACCGGTCTGCTTTATCGAGCATGCGCATACTACACATTTATTCCTTCCTGAACGATGTGTAGAATGCTTTTCCACGTGTGCGAATTAGATGGCATGTTTTTTTCCGCGTCCATTTTTGCCGGGGCACTTTGCCACCCCCACATCTACACACACACACACCTTTTTTTTTTTGTGCATTTTTGGGCTTTTGAATGAACACCGTTATTTTTACTTTAATTTTTACTGTGATTATGTTTATCATTAAATTTTTGAATTTGATACGTTGCTGCTGCAATTCGGGTTTACTTTTAGTCCCTTATGTGTGCTTATGTTTTGTTCCCTTCAGTCTTTTTTTTCACGACGATGTTGTTATTTATCTGTGCGGTTAAACAAGTGACTAAATGGACAAGCGAACGGAAAATAATTTTTTTTTTGTGTGTATGTCCTCGAGATAAGAGACGTTTCTCTTTTAATCTTCTTCCCAACGGAGTTTTTAATTTCCTCTTGGCCTTCCTCGTGGAAAGGGTGTTTTTATTTTTTGAGAGGGGGTTGTGAACAGGGGCGAGGTTTTTTCGCAGGAAAAAGTGACACATTGACTGCAGATATTGAAGCTCGCCTTGCTGTATATACAGGGACGCAAAAATAATATATTTTTTTTTTTTTTCCTATCTTAGATAAAAGTGCTGATCTTTTAATGAGTACGTAAATGTGAAAATACATTAGCGTGATAATAGACTCACTTCTATATGTGTCAAATTGTGTGATTAATTTTTCGAATGATTGCAACGCTGCTCTTCAAATCAGTGTAACAGTTGTCTTGTTTTTTTACCTGCAGGGAATTTTTTTTTTCTCTCCCCCTTTTTCGCTTGTTTCCCCCCCACTTTAACACATCACGGCTAGCACCCTTATATTCACTACTTTCTCGCCAAAAATGAAAAGCGCCTGCGTAGTTGTCTTCTCCTTCCTTTTGTTTGTTGTTTCGCAGAGTATTTGCGTCTGCTACAAAAATGCTCGCTTCAGTTCCCTGGTGACCAAGTCGAAAAAGGAGTTATCGGAGTAATGGCGAAGAGGAAATCTCCAATCCAGAGGGGGATAGATGCAAACGCATTTAACATGTTCAGTTGTTTTCTTCTATTTCTGCTCGCCTCCAACCGATGAGATATAAGCAAATTTCACTGCCTCCTTTTTAGTGACTTGAACGAACTGAACAAACTAAATGAAGAGTTAATTTCGAACGAAAAAGAAGATGAAGACGACGAAGACGAGGATGACTATGAAAAGGAAAATCTCGAAAATTCCAATTTTGATGACATTGCTCGGGAGAGCCTCGAAAATGTGAGTTACGACTTCTACGTACCAAGATTTTCACGTGCACCTGCGCAGCTGTATGCACACATATGAATAGCCATTTTCTCCTTTTTCTTTAAAAGGCCGAAGGGCAGGCAACTGTCGACCTTGAAAATGTCGAAATGGATAAAATCCTGGACGAAGGTTTTTTTTTTTTTTCTTCTATCCCTATTTAGCACCCCTATGATTATTCACCTTTACACACACGGCCCATTTAACCCTTTCAAGAAATATTCAGGATAATTCAGGAACGAGTGAAGAAGTTATGGTTAAACAAGAAGGCACCAACTGTTGACCGATTATTTCGATCCTGCCCTTTCAGGGTTTCCAATTAGAGCTCCTGACAATTTTGACCTTCTTATGGTGCCCCCATTTAGGTACATTGGGAGGTGTAGGAGGGACTACTCTGGTGTCTGTCCTTTGGGTTAGCCAAGACGGAGAAGGAGAAAACATTTCTTCAAAAGACCAAATGAAAGCTCGTCCACCTCACAATGAGAAACAGAATTACCTATTTGCTTACTAACATTTTGAAGTGCAAAAAAAAAAAAAAAAAAAAAAAACTATGAGGATAAATGATTTCTCTCGTGTAAAATTTCACAGTGGAATGACTGCCTCAACAATAGCGGAGTTTTATAGATGACTACACGCCTATTACCACTGCGCTTTTCTCTTTTATAAGGATGGAAAGTATCCGCTTATGATGAGAATCTTTGCATCCCACCTGAACCGTACGAAGGACCGTAAGCTCTCCAAAAAAAGAAAGGAAAAGACTCATCCTGACGTAGTGCACTTACCCCGATACGTGTATTCACCCGTCTGGTTTGCATGATACTCGTCTTTTTTTGCTTGGTTGTGTCATATATTTCACCATTATTCCCTTCGGTCAGATGCAGATCGATAGATTTTTCGAACAGCACAAATGTTGACAAGGAGCTTTTCGCGTGGAAGTGTGAAGTGGAGTGGCCCTGCACGAATCGTAAGAGCAGAAATTTCATGTTGGGGGTAGAAGCGAAGGTGGCCCCACACCTTCCTTGTATGATCACTTCGGTAAAACGATGCAGCTGTTTTTCACTAACGTGGTGGAAAAAAAAAACCATTACTTCAAATGCTTTCCCTTTTTTTAAGCCCCCAAATTAAGAGTCATGGAAAAGTGCCCCTTCAGATGGACCCTCGTGGGGAGTAGTTTGTGCATAGCACCGGAGGTAAGTGCCAACTGTTCATCGCATTTTATTCATTTCGCGAAGAAAAAAAACAAAAAAAAGTAGACATACCAGATAGGCACATATGATGCTTCTTACACTTGCAAACGGGTTTCATCTTTTGCTCGAATGATCCGTCTAGATGGAACAAAGGTCAGGGGAACACCTGTAGCCTGTCATGCATATGCATGTCTAACTTTGAAAGTTGTGAATGGCAAAACGCTTCAGATAAAATTAATGGCGCGGATATTTTCCCACCCATTTGAAGGATTATATTGGGAGGTGCTCCCCCGCCATGGACTTCGCAAATTACGATTACGAGACACGCGTTAGATGGGCCACTGAATGTAAAAGGAGAAATGAAAAAAAGGGGAGAAAATAAAATCCAAGGGATAGATAAAAAGGCACATGCCTTTACCAGAACATCTGTCTACTTTTCTCTTTCCACCATGGCTAACTGCACCATTTTGACCCTTTTTCTTGCGCGTCGTTTGAACCATATTCAGGTAACGTCCAGTGGGCTCCTCTACCTGCACCTAAGATTGCAAAATCGAAGGAAGCAATTTTGAAGGCCTCCTCCGGGGGTCCCGTGGAAGAAAGTGGAAACATTATAAAAATCGTCCCAAAAAAGTGATTTTTTTTTTTTTTTAAACTTGGAGCAAATTGTTGTGCCACTTTTTCGTCCCATAAATGTGCTTATCCGTTTTCATAAAATAGTCAATTATTTGAGCATCACTTATTTTTAAAAATACAAAGTTTTATTAAAAAATGTAAAAACTTTACAAAGTGGTATATGTTAATTAAAAAAAAAATTATGAACAAAGGATCCGGGAACGGGGGGGAGGGGGACAACTTGGGGTAGGGAAAAGTAAATTGTGTCAACAAAAAAGGGGGCCCCTAAATTTTTTCCATAAATGTGAGAGAATTTTTTCACAGACGTGAGATTTTATCATATACAGGTGAGGAATGGGGCCGCGAATAAACGCAGATGTTTATATTCAAATGGTGAAAAAAAAAAAAAATTAGCTGATTTGAGGTTTCCCGAAGGGCCTGCTGCTAATTTCCCGAATTACTGATTTTTTAATTTTAACAGATTATTGTTAATTTCTGTCTTCACTTCCTCTGGGTTTAAGTTTAGGGGATCTAGCAACTCGTTTTGAAATCCTGGGATGCAGCCATTTTTGCACTTACACTTTCCCCCCAGGTAGGAAGGAATGTTCTGCAAAAAAAAAAAAAATAAAAATAAAAAAAAAACAAATAAAATAAAAGGTTTGCGTTTGCGCATGGAGATGGCCGTTTTCGTCACGTCCTCATAAGGTGATTTGTGCGTATCGGCCCTGATGCATATTTCCCTGTCTATCTTTTGCGACCTACATTTTTATCGACTAATACAGAGAACCATTCGCAATCCGCAGGTTCCTTGTTTGAAATAATTTTGGGGATTTCCAATTTGTTCAGCGTCCTGCGGCTTATCCCGAAGGCTTTAAGCGTTTCTATGGTTATTCTTATGTAGGACGGCGCGTTTATTAGGTACTGAACGGGAAGGAGGGGGGGGAATGCGACGTCACGCAATGTTAATGTGTGCACATGAGAAAGGATGTACTTGAACAGAAGTTTCAGTGCGAAGATACTCCTCCATATATGGGCGATCAAATGCAGTAGGCGCTCTTCACCCTCGATTGTAGGTCTCTGCATGTGTTCGTGTGGCTCAAAACGAAGAGACGTACCGTTTTCCCAACCAGCTGCGGATGGAGAAATTCGGAAAGTTTTGACGTGTTGGCAAAAACTCGCAGAAATCTCCTATCAAATTTTTTCAACACAAATCCTTTTAAGTCGATGAAGCGAAAGGTTCGACAAATAAAGTTATGTTTTTTTGCCTTTTCATTACATACAACGAATTCATGTTCATTGGAATATACAATATAATCAATCAGGATATCTTCTGGGACGTGGTCCAGGAGAAGGGTAAAATTACATAACCTAAGTCTGCCAATAACAATTGGTTGCTTATCTATGGTCGATTTATGCGTACATGCAGCTAGTGACTTTTTTATCAGGGAATAATATGGCTTTATTCTAATTGGCAATATAACGTCTTCATCCGTTTTGAAAGATACTCCTTTATTTTTTAGTAATGGCTGAATGTTGGTTTTCCTCCAAAGAATCGCTTTTTCAATGGAGTTTGCCGCTTCATCTAACTTTTCCCCATAGGAAAGAATGTACCTTAGTAGTATTGAATCCTCCGTTTTTTCGT